ATGCATCCTCAGACTTTTAGTTTCTAGAGACAGGGGGCCTTACTAAGTCCCTGAGTTAGCAAGACTGGGCTTTAGACTGGGCTTAAACTTCACTATTCCTGCCTCAGCCCACAAGAGTGCTAAAATCATAGGCATAAGTTACTATGCCCAACTTTCACTTCTCTTGTTTTCAGCTAAGTAGTTCAGGCTGGCTTCCATCTTGCTGCAATCCTATCCCAGCCTCCTTTCTGAGTATGCCACCATGTCTGACATTCTGACTCATTTTTTTTTTTTTAGCGGAACCGAGGATTGAACTCAGGCCCTTATGCTTGCCAGGCAAGCGCTTATTCTACTGAGCTATCTCCCTGGCCCTGTCCTACTCTTTAAATTGTTGCTATTCTAGGTAATTGTATGGGATAGAGATTATTAAAATGCCTTTTTGATTTTTAGGAATAATTCAGAAGATAGTTATTGTGAGATTACTGGTAAGTATGATTAGAATACCCTTTATTGTATACTTTTCTCTTCATTTCTTGCGAAGTATGTATGTAGGATCCATGAAAAAATAATTTAAAGCTTTGTTCTTTATACAAAGTCGTCCATTTGAATTTTTAGAAGCATGTTGTTTCTCTCCAACCCGCGGTCCTTTTGATTTTCTGTCTTGGATTTTCACTCATTCATTCAAATCAGGAATTGAAGAATTATTTTGAACTCTTCCTTCATTCATCATACTCATTAGCTTCTACTTTCTATTCTGTCTCCTAAACATCTTGCAAATCTCTTATATCTTATTTGTCTGTCATTGCTTTTATGCGAGTCTTCATTACTTTCTCTTGGGCTGTTATATTTAGTTTCTTATCTTTTCAATCCATTCTTCATAGTTTAAATTTGATCACATTACCTCTTAGTTTAGAATGATTTAATGAAGGGCCAGCCAGATAGCTCAGCGGATTAAAGTGTCTGCTTAGACAGACACAGGGACTGGGGTTCAATCCCCAGCATGCCCTGCTGGCCCCACCCCCGGGTGCGCTGAGAGGGCAGTTGAGACTGGGCATGGTGGCATGCACCCGTAATCCCAGCGCTTGGGAGGCTGAAAACAGAAGAATCAGAGTCCAATCTGTATAGTGAGACCTTGTAGACCCTGTACCAAATTAAAAA